TCCTTTTCTTTCTTGCCAATCGGATCAGTTCTTACCCTGAAACCAGCACCTTCTTTGGGCTAGCAAAAACTTCTCATCTTTAAAATTATCAATAGGACCGTGCAGTTTTGGCGTTTTCCCTCTCAGTGAAAGCTCTGTTGTATGTGCAGATAAAACTGAAATGTTAGGAAGTTTTTGTCTCAGAACCTGCACCAGCAGCCTTGGGTTTTCTGTGACTGACTTATACTGAGTTCTGTGTCCACGTGGCTGCCTGTCAGTTGCCCCCATAGATCTATTACCAAACTGCAGGATTCTCACCCTCTAGACATCACCAGCCGCTTCCTGAGTACCTACCTGGCTTTGTCCCTCCTAACCCCCAGCCCTGAGTATAATTGAAGAAGTGTGTGTGTGTGTGTGTGTGTGTGTGTGTGTGAGAGAGAGAGAGAGAGAGAGAGAGAGAGAGAGAGAGAGAGAGCACATATGTGCATGTGTGTGTGCATGTATGTGTGTTCATGTGTGTGTTTGTGCGCAGGCATGTACTTGTAAGGAGGCTCACTGCTCCCTGAACACTGCTTCCTTCTGCCTCTCTCTTGGCCTGTCTCCTTTCCATCTTGCATCTGCCTCCCTGCAGGCCGCTCCCCACCACTATCTCTCAATCCGTGGCCCCCTCATCCAACAGGTCCTGCTGCACCCTCTCCCCACCCTCCCACAACTTCTGACACCAGAGTTCCACCTTCACCAGGGACAACTGGTGATGGAGACCCCAAATAAGCTGGTCTGTGATTTCTAAGGGCAAATACCTACATGTAGGAGGAGTGTTGGGAAGCAAATGGTGAGGTGGCAGAGCCCCACAGAGTGTGAAAAACTCCTCTGGGGTGACTTAAATTGTGTTTCCCAGGCCTATACTGAGGGAACTGAAGGTCCCTAGAGAAGATGGTCACTGGATAATGAATGCCCCAGGTTGAAGGCACAGTCAGCATCCAGGCACACAGAGGATACAGTGCAGGAAATCCCCTTCTCTGTGACCTAGAAGGGTCAAATGCCCTATATTTTCCAATTGCATGTCGAGGAATGGTTTTCCTATGGCTCTCTTCTAAGAACCCCCAAAATCTGTGGCTAGCCTCACTTTGGACACATCTGCCTGGAGGTATTTGCCTACGTTCCTAGCATCTGGTTTCCTTATGGACCCCAAGGCCTTATTCTTCCTGGAGGGTAGTTCTGGGGCCCCCCAGTCACACAGGTGTGAAGAGATCCACATTTCACAGTTCTTCCATTGTGTGTGGGTTTCTCCTCACACTGCCTCCTTTCTTTTCACTTTTTGAGGGTTATAATCCTGGGGTTCTTCCCTTTGTTGCTACCTGAACAGAAATGGGAGCTAGGTAGCGGCAGCCTCCGAAGGGGAGAGCTGCCCTGGAGGGTGGTAGTCAGCGTCTGTCTCCCGGGCTGAACCTGAGCCAAATGGGACCTGGCCTGTCACAGGCACACTTAGGCCTATGACAAACATATCCAAGCCTGTGATGGAAACATCCAAGCCTTGTGATGGGCACATTTAGGCCTGTGACAGGAGCATCCAGGCCCTGTAACAGGAGCATCTAGGCCTGTGACTGACAGGTCTATGCCTGTGCAGGAGCATCCAGGTTGGTGACAGGCACATCCAGGCCTGTGTTAGGAGCATCCAGACTGGTGACAGGAGCATCCAGGCCCTGAGACAAAAGCACCCAGACCCTGTGACTGACAGGTCTATGCTTGTGACAGGAGCATCCAGGCCTGTGACAGGAGCATCCAGCCTATGACAGGCAGGTGCAGGCCTGTGACTGGCAAGTCCAGGCCTTATTACAGGCGAGTCCAGGCCTGTAACAGACAGGTCCAGGCTCTGTGAGAGGCATATCTAGGCCCCGTTGACAGGCAAGTCCAGGCCTGTGACAAAGCAGGACCTGACCGTGTAATAGGTGCTTCCCAGCCTATGACAGGCACCTCTAGGCCCTGTGACAGAGCAGATCCAATCCCCTTAACAGGTGACCAGTGACAAGCAGAGGCCATGGCTTGGGACTCATGGCTGTGGGCCCAGCCTCCATGGAACGGTATATGTGGCAGTCCCCACCTGGACTATCCCCACAGGTGCTCTGGGAAACCAGGAACCTCCAGACCTCATGTTTCTGAAAAGTGTCACATAGCCCAGCTCCCACACATGCAGCCTTGCGGCCAGCACTCTGGCACTGGGCCAGGCAGATTGGGCAGCAGGCGTGTGGGCACGCCCTACCTCCCCCCAGCAGGTCTTGCTCAGAGCAGGGGGAATTGGAGGCCATGGGGGGAATACTGAGAGACTGTGTCTGTGGCTTCTGGAAGAGGGTGTCTGAGCCCCCTGTTAGGCCTGTAGGATCTCTTGTTTGAGGCTTTGGGTGCTAAGCATGGCCGTCCCTGCATGTCAGGACCACTGAGAGGTTCCTGCACTGTGCAGGGGGGACTCAGCACTGGTGTGGGCTCAGCACTCATGGTGGAATTGGGATTAGGCTCAGCACTTTGGCAAATGTCTGTTTTTGCTTTTGTCATTTTGTTGGAGGTACTGTGCTTGGCCATTCGTGAATCAGAGTTTCATGTGTACAGCGTTCCACTGTTCCACACCTACTGCCAAATCTCTTGCTCTTCTTTGAAGAGGGAGGGAGGGGATGGGTTTGGGCCTATACTTGGCAATGCTCAGGGGTTACTCCTGGCTCGGAGCTCAGGAATTACTTCTGGTGGTTCTCAGGGGACCATATGGAATGCTGGGGATTGGACCTACATTGACTGCATGCAATTCAAACATCTGACTTGCTGTATACTGTCTCTCTGCAGCCCCAGTGCCATATTCCTTCACCTCACAAAGCCTCAGCTTCCCTGGGCGGGGAGGCCAGACTGTGCCTGACGCAGGAGTCAGCATGAGAACTAAATGCGATACCCTTGTAAGCCCCGGAGCTGGGTTGGGAACTGGGGTGTTCCCCATCAGCAAATCCCTCCCTGAGAAACAGATGAGGCCTGCCCTGTCTTTTAGGCCTGGGACTTTGTTGGACTCAGAGAACTCACCCCTCCCTCCTCAGAGCACCTCAACTAAAGTGGTACCTGATGTCACCTGCAGACAGGAGCACAGGGTGGGGACTGGAGAACAGAGATACCTTTCTCCCGAAATTGCTCAAATTGTACACAAAAATGCAGGGTTTCTCCTCTACACTTCTTGTGCCAGCTTTGCACACTAGTTTCCTGAACACCTTTGTGAGTTTAATAGCAGATGGATAACTCACTGGTAAGGGACAGAAGGAGCAATGACTTGTCCCCAAGGTGTCCCCCAGAGAGCTGCTGTCCGCCCAGCTTTGCTGGAGCAGAGGTTGCCTGGCCTGTACTTCCTTTGACTGACAGGTGAGGAGGGAGGTGGTGGCGCGTTCATTTGTTCGGGGACAGTTTGTGCCCAGCCAGCGGCGCTTCCTCCAGAGAGGTATGCAAAGCATCTCGTGTTGTTCTCCCCATTAATGTTGGTCCCTGGCTGGCTGCCCCAGAGTGCTGTGGGGGAGTGCCAGTAGAGCTGGGTCATGGGACCCCAGGACAGGAAGGCCTCCCTGAATAACCGGGGATAGGGCATACTATACGCTCAGTCCTTTTCACATGCCCAGTGGAACTCAGAGTCGGTGTCTAATGATAATGATCCGCGTGGCACCGGGAAGCCACAACACTGTGCTTTCTCCTCCTCTTCTTGCCTCCTGTGGCCTACAAGTGGGAAATTCTCACCAGGTCTCCCATCAAAGCAGGCTGAAGTTCTATTATTTCTTTTCCTTTTTTCATTTTTGGGCCATACCCAGTCGTGCTCAGGGATTGCTCCTGGCTCATTCCTGGCAGTGTCGGGGGCTCTCTTGAGGGTGCAGGGGATCAAATTCAGAGCAAACCCTGCACTCCAGCCCATTGGAGTACACAGTATTTTTCCCTTCAGAGAGAGTCCTGAATGTGAGGGCCTTATCTGACCTACAAGTAGGGCACCTGCGTGTCCCCTCCCTGAGGGTAATGGGCACAGGCATCCTCCTAGCCCCACTGAGGGGTTGAGGGGAGCTCCCTGTAATTTTCCTGTGCTAAGTCAATCCTTCTTCCCTGGGAGATCTGTGTTGCAAGATTTTTTTTCATCCTTTTTCATGAATGTTTCCAGAAACTTCTGGTGATGGGGGCTCTTGGGGGCCCACCACCTTCCTGCCTTCCCGGGAGCTTCCCCCACTGCTACAGTCCACCCCTACTGGGATCTGGACACCAGGAAAGAAGTTAGACCTGAGTATCCCATGATATATTGGGGAGAAGCCTGGCAGTAGCTGCCCCCACACCACTGGCAACAGCAGGACTTGGTCCCTGGTCCCTGGAGACTGGGTAGGGAATACCCCTCCCCCACATACACACACACCCTACCACACCTCAGCACCAGGCTGCAGTAACCTTGGGGACTAGATGTCCCCTCAGCTGGGAGTGACTCGTCCCTGGAAGAGAAGTACCCAACTAGACAGCCCAGCTTGGTGGCGGTGCATGAGCCCTGCTGTTAACTGGGGCAGGCAGGGGGTGGCTGGGCTGTGGCTTGGCCGGAGTCTCAGCCCAGTGAGGAGCTGCTTGTGCCTGGACCCAGCATGCAGGGACCCACAGAGCAAAGAGAAGCATCCTAGCATGCACAGCGTGGGATGGACTTCCTGCCCCTGAACGGACATGCACAAGTGGCTAAGACTTGTCCATTTCATGTTAAGTCTAGTCTACCAACACAAGAAAGATAAGATATCCCCCCAGCCCCACCCAGCTCCTGCAAAAAAGGAAGAAAAAAAATGTGGTGGGGAAAGACTGGAAAAACTCTCCATGGCGCTTCCTTTTGGCTTTTTGAGCAACATGCCCCACACTTTTTATTTTGTTCTGAGCTGTACGAATGACAGGGGCAGGTTTGTGTGTCACGTGCTGTGCGGAACTCCCGTGCTGAGGGAGGGGTTTGCTGAGCACACTCTAAACTTCTGTTCTCTTCCTCCCCCTTGCAGGTATCTTGTTGGCTGTGTGTCAGGCCCTGGAGAATACCACCGCTGCCCTGAGTGGTGAGTCCCGTGCATTGGAGGGGAGCGTGTGGCAGGGAGTGGGCAGGGCTGGTTTCTGGAGCCTGCTGGGCCCTTGGCTCCATCATGTTGGGCTCACGTGGGACCTGAGATCCAGCTCTGGGAGCTAAGTGCAGGCTCTGGGGGACTGTTCTCCACTCTCTTAGCTCGTCCTTCCCCATCACTCCTGCCTTTTCAGACCTGCGTTAGGGTTGTACGGTCTCACTCAGTGGAGTTCCTGCTGGCTGCAGAACTCATGAGAGGTTCCTTTTTCATGCATGTTTCCAGAAACTTCTGATAATGTGGGCTCTTGGAGTATTGGAAGGCAGAGTCTGCTGGACTCTGGTGAGAACTCAGAAGATAGTTCCTTTTCTGGCCTGGGTCATCCAAGTAAAGACAAAACTAGAGAGGAGCTAGAGCGGTCACTTAAAAGACTGATGCACATGCCTTGTGTGCTCAAGGTTCCAGGCTCAATCCCCAGCCTCTCATAGGCTCCCTCACACCTTCTGGTGTGGCGCTGGTGGCACCTAGCACCGCTAGGCCTGAGCAACATTACATCACAAACTGTCTGACCTGGTTGACTGAGTTTTAGCAGAAGTGGCTCCAGGCTTCCTGAACATTGCTTGGGATGTCCCCAGTCCCCTTCCCACCACAAAAGTATCAGACTCCTGTACTCTCTTGTCTGCTTCTGCCTGGTGATTTTTACTTAGTTACACTCCAGTTTATCTCTTGTTATTTGTTCTAATATTTTCCTGATTTCAGTTTAAAGATCCCAGATCAGGAGATTGGAAAGTTTGGGAAAGGTCAGAGACCCAGCCCTTGTGGGCAGACACGCTGGCCGCTCCGCGCCCCTTGCACTTTGCTGCTAGGCCCTGTCCCCGTGCGGTCATGTTTTCATACAATTAGTCATAGAGAGGAAACTATTTTGATTCTTGCTTTTTAAATTCAAGTTTGGGGGTGTGCATTTTTCCATGTTGCGGCAAAATCTTGAAATTTATTCTTCTGAAATGTCATGATGTTCCAAAAATAAAATAAAATGTCACGATGTTCCATTGAAATGGACATGTGTTACTCAGCCAGGCCTTCCCCATTGAGTATCTCCCTTGCATCCAGGTGAAGTGGGGAAGCTCCATCTTGGAAGCATTTTTTCCTTTATCAGGTGTCCTTCCTTTAGATAGATATCCAGCAATAAGAACAATTTTTATGTGTATGACCCTTGGGACAAATGACCAAATGCTTCTGATGTGGAATCAAGCTGGCTTTTGTGCCAGCCACAAAGGAGTATGCCATTATCACTGTGCCCTGGCTGGCACTGTCACTGCAATGGCCCTCATTATTCCAGGTCACCGAGGGCAGGAGAAATACTTCTTACATATTCATAAATCCCCCACCAGCCACCCAACCTACTCAGTGCTTTGCTCTTCCATCCCATACTTTTCCCTCCAAACACCATGGAGGTGACACCGCCACTCCCCCTGAGTACCCCGGCTTTTCCCAGTTTCCCCTGGGAGCCAGTAGCCTTGATACAGATGCCCACAGTAGCAGTGAGGAAAAGGCTCCTCTTCTCCAATGGGGTGCTTTGTTAGATTGCTGGTGGAAGGGCATGTCCCCCGCAGAGCAGTATTTCTGGGTTCCAGAGGCGACCAGAGCTCCCATGGAGCATTGCTTTGACATTGCGATTTGCCTCCTACATCACAAGGGGCTCAGACGGGAATATAAGGGGGTGGGGAGGATAGTTTGGTGACTCTGTGTATATCATGTATGTCACTGTCACTGTCCTCCCATTGTTCATCGATTTGCTCGAGCGGGCCCAGTAACATCTACACTGTGACACTTGTTACTGTGTTTGGCATATCGAATACGTCACGGGTGGTTTGCCAGGCTTTGCCGTGCGGGCGAAATACTCTTGGTAGCTTGCTGGGCTCTCTGAGAGGGGCGGAGGAATCGAACTTGGGTCGGTCATGTTGGCTGCGTGCAAGGCAAACGCCCTACCTGCTGTGCTATCGCTCCAGCCCGATCATGTATGTATATACATTCAATGTATATCATACATTCAATTGCAAACTCCATGCATATAAGGAAGTACATATTATTAGTATTCTATAATGTGTTCTATGTATATCACACAATATGTGTTCTATGTATATCATACACCCCCACCAGGGTCCAACCACCTTCCTACCATGCAATTGGCGGCACGCCTATCTTTAGCCACACCAGTCTACTCTTCAACAAAAAGCTGGGTTTTCTTTCTTTTTTTATTTTTTGCTTTTTGGGTCACACCTGGCGATGCACAGGGGTTACTCCTGGCTTTGCACTCAGGAATTACTCCTGGCGGTGCTCGGGGACCATAAGGGATGCTGGGGATTGAACCCAGGTCAGTTGTGTGCAAGGCAAATGCCCTATCCTCTGTGCTATCACTCCAGCCCCAAGGCTGGGTTTTCCCCAGAGCCATGTGCTGGCAGCAGGCTACAGGGCTGGCAAGTGCCTCGCATCCGTCCAGGCAGTTATTTCCTGCTCCCGCCTGCCTCCATCCAGTCCACTGGGCAAGAGGCCGAGGGACGTGGCAAAAGAGTCTCTTCCCTGGCCCTATCCCTGGCTGACCTGCGAGGAGTGCCTGCTGCATTTGTTCAGCAGTGACTGTCCTTGCTGCAGACGTGACCACCCTCTGATCTGTCTCTTCCCTCTGAACTTGCGTCAAGGAGCGTGTCTGTGACAGCCACAAGGCTCGCTCCTAAAGGCTCGCTCTCCCTTGTTGCAATGCTTGTTCAGAAAGCTGTAGTTGTGTCCCACTATGTCCCACTTAACCCCGTCATCAACTGAATGCCACTCTGTGGCCCAGAGTGTGGAAGAGACTTGAGCTGCCTGGAGCCTCGGTCCCTCTCTGTGCAGGGGTTACCTAGCACTGGGCGTCACGGGTCATGAATTAACGCTTTCCACTCTTAATACCCTCCACTATGCGCCAGTTCGACCCAGACATGATTCCAGAAATGGTGGGGCTGCCAGACACCTTGTGCTTTGCTCACCCTGTCTTTGCCACCTCTGCAAGGATGAGGGCTGTGCTGTCAAGTCGGGCTGGCTGACTTGTGTCTTTCTTTTGGGTAACCATCCGATCTTCTGGAACCATATTCCACAGCTTTATTACAACCACTGTTTCCTTTCTGTGGTCTCCCTTGTCCTACCAGTTGTACCCCTAGTCTCATGCTGAGCCTCACCCCCTACCCCACTTACCCAATTTTCACCTGTGGACTTCTTGGACTATCCTAGAGTCCCACCAAGGGACAGATAGATTTCAGCTGGAAAACGCTGTTCTAGAAGATTGCCCAAGTCCTGGATGGCCTTAATCACCTCCATCCACCCCAGCTCTGTCTATACCAGACATGGATGGAATTCTGTGGAGGATGTGGCTCTGAGGACCACCCTCAACAGCCCAAATCTACCCCAGCATTGGACAGAGAAGCTCATTTTTTGCTAATTTACTAAGTAAAAATTTTTGTGTGTGTATGTTTTGGGGCCATGTTCAAGGATGATTCCTGGTGCAGCTCAATTAGGTGCCGGAAATTGAATCCTAATTGAATATGGTTGGCCACGTACAGGGCAAACACCTTACCCACCATGCTATCTCTCCAGTCCCTTATTTACCAAGTAATACTATATGTTAATGTTCACTGTAGATGCCTTCAAATACAGAAGAAATGTGACTTTGAAATCAGTCCCCATATTTATCCATTACCCAACCGCAGTAGTTAACATCTCCATGACATTTTTCTTTCATCTCTTTCTTCACCTTTAAATTTTTGCTCTTTGCGAGAATATTTTAAAGCAAATCCCAATTTACTTATAACATTCCACGTATCTAACACATAAGGACTTAACAGAACACAGCCATGGTCCCATTATACCACAAAGGTCACTGCAGTTGTTTTGTTAGATCCTGCATATGGAGGGTAGATAATGTCATGTTCATTTCTGTGGCATTTTATTTTAATTTGCTGTTGCCTCAATGTTTTCATATTTTGTTTCATACTGATATTTTTTTCAAGTGAACACTTTTATAAAATGTGCTGATGGTTTTTTATTGTTGTTTTGGGCCACATCCAGTGGTACTCAGAGCTTACTCCTGGCTCTGTGCTTGGGGCTCACTCCTGGTAGGGCTCGAAGGACCATGTGGGGTGCTGAAGAAGTTAGGTGCCAGGTCAGCTGTATGCAAGGCATGCACCTCTATGCCCACTATACCCACTATATTTCTCAAGTCCCCAAATGTGCTAGTTTTATACTGGGTGACTGACTTTCACATCTGAGTCCTTCTGAGCGCCGCCTAACACATTCAATCTTGGGGTGAGAAGGCATCTCCTTCACTAAGTTCTGGAACTCTCCATATGGAGGTCATTTTAAGACAAATGCTACAATAGCTTTAGCCATGCCATCAATATGTAGGTCTCTTTGCTCTAAGAATTTGATAGGAATGAGAAAGAGTAATGGTCATAGAAAGTCTTGATACATTCTGGAATGATAAGACAAGGAGTCCTATCGGCATCCTCATATTTTAATATGAGGGCCTCACATTTTGATGGAGAAGCATGGAGAGAAGATTGCAAACTCCATGTGCCAATTAAATGGTGGGTAGTGGGAGTCATGGGCTCAAAGGAGCAGGTGCTGATCCCATGTGGCTTTCTTACATTTTTTTGAGGAAAAAAAATCTTGTTTTTATGATGTGATAATTGTTCTAATCTCTATGTTTCACTCATTTCTTCCCCTCACTCCTCCTCTCAGATCCCCAGATGTAGGGTAGATGGTGCCAGAGGCACTGGAAACTGGCATTACTGACATCCGTAAATGTTTCTCAGACATCAGTTTTGGAGGCAACCCGGGGAGGATACCATGCCTTAGCGCTGGAGGGCAGGAATCCTGGGTGCTGGGTCCAGTTAGTCTCAGTTTTGCCAAGGCCTTAGGCAAGTTGATGCATCTGGATCCTGTTTAGGTCTTACTTAGGAAACTGAACA